ATATATATATATATATATGTGTGTGTGTGTGTGTGTGTTGAAAGTGGTAATGGCAGAGAGAGAGGGAGTGAGGGAGGGGGAGGGAGGGGGTGAGAGAGAGTGAGAGAGAGAGAAGAAGATATACCGGTAGAAGAGGGAGTCTCGGAGCTGGTGGCGGAAGCGGTAGTGAGGGTGGTAGAGTCGTCCGTCTTGGACGAAGGGGTAGAGGTAGCGGTGGTGGACCTGTCGTCGTCGGTGGTGGAGGAAGTCTCGGAGGTGACGGTGGACGAAGGGGTGGTGGTGGTGGTGGTGGTCTCCTCGGTCTCGGTGGTAGAGGTAGAGGTAGAGGTAGAGGTCTTGGTGGAAGCAGAGGTGGACGCAGAGGTGGACGCAGAGGTGGACTCGGCGGTGGTGGTGGTGGCGCTGGCGCTGGCCTCACCAGTACCCTGGTAGTCGAACTGGATCGAATAGTTCTCCTCTCCGGACGAGTTGTCGGTGATCTTGAAGGCGTACAGGTCCGAGGGCATGGAGGGGGTGAAGGTGAAGGAGTTGCCGGTAGCGGAGGCTATCATTTTTTTTTTCCCTCGTCGTCAGAATCAAGAGACATGACGAATCAAGACTGCGTTGTAGAAGAGGGGGGATATAGAGAGGGGGAGAGGGGGGGAGGCATACAGGTCAGAGTCTTGAACGTCTTGAGGTTGGTGGCCGAACCGTTCTCGAGCTCGATGGTGCAGCCGGAGCTGCAACCGGCGTAGGTGACGGTGAAGGGCTCACCCTCCTCGAGGACGAAGACGGTGTTGGTGATGCTGGGCTTGGCCACGACCATGGTGGCCATGGAGAGGGCGGCGGCGGCAGAGTACTTCATCTCGACGGTTGGTGTCTTTGCCTTCTTCTTTCTTTGAAAGGATAGACTATTCGCGGTTCATTAGATTGTTTGCTCTGTCCGTCTCTTTCGTCTTGCAATTCTGTTGGAGTATTTCCTCGGACTCTGGTAAGCTCTCAACCCTTGTCGGTCCGTCGCGGTGAGCGATGAACCGTCGGCAGTAGATATATATATATATATATATATAATATATATAGAGAGAGAGAGGGAGGGAGGGAGAGGGGGAGGGAAAGAGTGTGAGAAAGAGAGAGAGAGAGAGAGTCATCTTACATCAAGTTGGTCAGAACAAGCAAACGGCTGGGAGGAAAATAGAGTAGCAGAGGAGGCAAGAGGATAGACGGATTATAATAAACAAGAACAATACTTGAGAGAAGAAGAGAGAGAGGAGAGAAGAGGAAAGAGAAGAAGAAGAAGAGGAAAAAGAGAAAAAAAGGGAAACCGAGAATGAAGGAGACCGACGACTTCAAATACCTCCCCCCCCCCCCCCCTTCCTCTCCCAGTCCCTCTCTTTCTCTCTCTCTATGAGTATTTAATACTTCCCAATCTCCCATCAACATTATGGGTGCGTCGCGCCTATGCAACATATTGAGACTAGGCAAACTTGGGACCGACCGGGGGGGAGGGGGGGGGCCTGTCATGGTCCCATGTGGGACTCATGGTCATGCTCGGGTCCGGGGGAAGGGGAGGGAAGAGAGAGAGAGAGAGAGAGAGAGAGAGAGGGGGGGGGGGGGTTGTTAGGCAAATGGGTAACCATTGAATGCGCCAAGCAAGAGAGATCTTGTTCGGGGCAATTTGCTGGTCCTAGGCTAAGGATACATGTGTGTACGGATACTCCGTATATCGCTATATATGTATATAGTATATTACATAATATATCATAATATATATCTTATATGATATACATTTGTATAATATATATCTATATAATATATATTTATAATATATATATATATATGTATACACAGAGTTGGATAATGTATACACAGAGTTGGATATAGTATATGATAGTCTCTAGGTACAGGTACGGAGCAGACTGTAATGATGGAGATATTTTTCTAGACTCTAGACTCTACTAGAGCCTCTAGTACGAGGTAAGATTGTAAATCATGGTACTAATATTACCACGGATTAGTCTCTTGGTAGGTACGGGCTGACTGTACCAGTACATGTAGCAGTAGTAGCAGTACGTCGCAGTATCGAATACATGTACAGGTTAGTATTGAAGATGGCGATGATGGTGATGACGATAAATACTACCACCACCACTGCTACTACCACCACCGACTATTACTGAATAGTGCTACCACTACTACTACTACTGCTACTGCTACTACTACTGCTACTGCTACTGCTACTGCTACTGCTGCTACTGCTACTGCTACTGCTACTGCTACTGCTACTACTACGAGTGGTACCCCAATCACTCTGACCATTCTTCGGTCCCTCTTCCTTCTCCTCTTCTTCTTCCTCTCTTCTCGAGATGTCTTGAGAAGAAGGACGATGAGATCTCACCGTCTTGTCCTGTCTCTGCATCATGTCTCGGTAAACCGACGGCAAAAAGAGGGGGGGGGGGGGGGGGCGAGAGAGGACGAGAGAGGACGAGAGAGGAACGAGAGAGAGAGAGGACGGGAGAGAGATGGTTCCTGTGGATCCTGCAGGGTTCGAGACTGTGCAGAGGGTATCGATACATCCGATACATGCGGCACAGTACGGCGACTCCATTCTGTATGGGCTGGCATGCATCACGTATGGCTGGTATGCATCCGTACGATGTAATCCGTACTCCGTACCTGACGTCCTAACCTAAACCCCTTTCTACGCGCTCTGCTGCAAGGTCCCGCTGTCTCGTCAACTCCACTCTGCAATGCCCCGTGTACTCGTACATGTACGGCCTATCCGCGGTTGGACTGCTGCTGCTGTTCTTTGTTATTGTCGCTGTTGTTGTCGCCGTTATTGTCGCCCTCATTGTCAATCGCCCCCGTACTGCTATACAATTCACACACACACACACACACACACACGTCTACACCGTCTAATCTGTACATCGTCCACCATCTGACCATGACGTTTTACCGCATACGAGAGAGAGAGTCAGCTGTGTAATCCTGACAGGTACCGATCATGATTGCACGTAGCTGCTATATGCAACGTATCAGCTCAGGCTAATACTGATTCTACACTCTACACCCTCTCTCTCTCTCTCTCTCTCTACGGAGTGCACAACCACAAATGCCAAGTGCCATTGACTCCGTACCTAATTTCCCACTCCCAAACCCCCTTCGATCCGACCAAGCGTCCATTATCAGCTCGGTATTAATCTTCCGCACTCTATCAGTGACCCCCCAAGTCATATTATCCCCTCTCCCTCCCTCTCCTCTTCAGCCTGCTGGTTCCGGACCGTTCAGGACTCGCCGACATTGGCATTGCTCTCCCTCTCTCACACACACACACACTCACTCACTCACTCGCTCACTCACTCGCTCACTCACTCGCTCGCTCACTCACTCACCTTGGCAACCAGCGCAGCCTTCCCCCCCTCTCTCTCTGCACCCTCCCTCTTATTCCTTCCGCTTCGCTTCGCTTTCCCTGACACCGCACCCGAACTGGATACTGGCTGTTGACAATCTTCCTACCAGTGGGCCGAGGCTATCATGAGGGTAGGCGCGTATCGTCAGATCAATGCTCGTACCAGATACCTGCCTTCCGGGGGTATCCATACTCTCTCCTAACAGAGGAGAAACCCCATCCTCTCTTGGCAATCCACTCCGTACGGATTATACTTATATGTACTTGTGCGGAAAATGCCAATGCCACCACCACCACCATTCTGATTTCCCTCTTTCCAATCCCTACCAGTTTACACGTACATTACACGTACAGATGGCATGTATCGGTAGATAGATACGGAGTAACACATAACCCATACACAATTCCTCTCCCCCCCCCAGAAAGTGATAGATAGTACCTCGTGCTCGGGAATTCGACCCCCGCGGCCTTTCTTTTGGCCCCCTGGTCAGAAGCCACCCCGCTACGCCACAGTCAGCTTCTTCCTCTCTTCCTCCCTTTTTTTTTCCTACCCATTTTTACAGGTATCATCGCTACGACTTGTTTTTTCCTTCTTTAAATAGAGGCCGGTCTACTACGGAGTACAGGTTACTGCTACCGCCAATGCCACCACCACCACCATCCCATAGGCCCCATCTTGAACATGGCGCAGCACGTAGCGCCGGTCGAATACACACACACACACACACATATATATATATGTTCCCAAAAATACAGTGATGTTATCATCGTGAAAACTTCCCCTTCCCTTCTCCCCCCCCAACCTCTTTCAAGACCCGTACAGGATGCTGATAGGAGACCGTAGTATATTTATATCGTATACCGGCTACCTGGCAGAAACCCTCCGCGTCCGTCTATAAACGGCATACTGTCAGCAGCCGTGTTACTCGTACTCGTACGGCGTAATCGGTATACGCGCCACCGTCGCACCGCATGGCATGCATACATGCCCCTTCTTCTCTCACTTCTCCAGCCCCCCTTCTGGTGATCCATACATCTATTTGTGTTCCGCACGTATGCTTCGTATCATCATCTAGACTCATCTCACCGTCCCATCGTACCGCCGGGTGCGCGGGTGTCTGCGTGCCCGGTCGGCATCGTGAACAGGAGCTTGGGCTTTACGCTGGATCCATCTCCCCATCTCGCGCCTCCCTCGTCGCTGGGAGTTGACCTGTGCGGCTGGTAGCTGGAACGTTGCTGGTCGGGCGCCGTAGACGGATGGCTACGGATGACTCGTGATGATGTGATATGCACCGCATCAGTAGCCACGATCCCGGCGTCTGCTGTCGAGCCCATGTGGCACCCGGAACGCATGACCAGACCAGCCAGAGCAGAGGCTGCTGCTACGCCCCCTCAACTCTGCTCGGGTAGATGGCTTCGTAGTCCGTAGATGGACTCCTTCCCCTCGGAAGAAGCAGGCAGCCAGACACGCACACACATCGATCGAAGACGTATACTTGGGAGGGGGACCACCATACTCACATCTACCGATCGACCTCGGTTGTCGCCCACGGAAAGCACAGGTACGCATGTGCAGGGTAGCCACGATCCGATGATCCAATGGTCTTGCCGTCGACGTGTGCGCCTGTACCCGTCGACCGTCGGGACTCTCCATCACGATTGCACTTCAATACTTCCACCCCTCAGATTTGAGACGAGGGGGGTCCCGATCGAAAAAAAAAAAGCTTTTATTCTGATTAAAAAAAAAAAAGTGGTACTGCTACCTAACCTGACGAGTGCCAAACATGCCCGACATCATCTCTCCTCCCACGGCCGCTCCCCCCACCCCCGCACACGTCCGGGTCATCGCGTACAGCAACCACCTGGGCTCCCGGGGTTCGCTTGGAAGGCGGTTGGCGGTGGGGGGGGTATCGGTCGGCCACTGAGCCTGAAGAAGAAGAAGAGAAGAAAAAAAACGAATTAAGAAAAAAAAAAAGGGAAGAGTCCAGACAGACAAGAATTAGAAATGGAAGAGGAGAAGAAGAATAGATTAGTGCTCCAGCAGACGGAGGCTGCCCTGCACCACAACGTTCTCCAGGATGGAACCGGGCGGCACGTCAATGGTCTGGCCCTCGGTGGCGACGATGATGACGGTACCCTTGAGCGTGACGCCCCGTCCCAGGTTGACGGCACCGGTAATGGTCAGGTGATCGAGCTCGAGCACCTTGGGGATCGACGGGATGCGCTTCTGAAAGTCCGACACCTTCTTGAAGTCTCCGCCGAGCTTGATCAGGGGCGCGTCGCCGAACCTGGCCGCACTCATCTGGAGCTGACCGTGCTTGAGCGTGTACAGGTCCGACTTGACCAGCATCAGGTCCGAGCACGTCTTGACCGGCAGGAAGCGGCGGCGGGGGACGTTGACGCCGTGGGCGTTCTTGAAGTGCCGGATGGCTGCGCCGACCGCCGTCTCGAGCTGGATGATGCTGATGTCCGACTCGCCCTTCTTGTCGCCCGGGATCGTCTTGCTGTTGGGTATGATCTCCATCTCCAGCTCGTCGTCCTCCACAACGCGCTTGATGGCCTTGAGGTTGAGCCAGATGTTGTTGGTGTTGAAGTACTTGAACTTCTTGATCGACTTGAACTCGTTGACGTGCTCCTTGGGCACCTGCGCAATCTCCAGCAGGCGCACCGACCCCTCGTAGTCGATGATGGTGCCGCCCTTGACGTCGGCCTTGGTCTTGTTGGTCAGCTCCATGATGTACTCCGACTTGGTCTCGACCATGTGCTGCAGGACGCGCAGGTCCACGACGGCGCCCAGGTTGTCGACGTTGGACAGGAAGACGACCTCGATGCCGCGCTCGATCAGCTGGTCCAGGATGCCCGAGTTGTACAGCGACTCGAACACGTCACCGTGGCCGGGCGGGTACCACTCGTTGATGGCCGAGTCGTACGTCTTGGGGACCGGCAGGAGCGAGTCCTTGTAGATGCGGGGGTAGCGGGACTGGTTAAAGGTCAGGATGTCCACGTTGTGGCCCTCGTACTTCTTAATGATGGCTGCCGTGTCATCGTTGGTGTTGAACGAATTCATCAGGATGAAGGGCACGTTGACGCTGTACGTGCGGTTCAGGTACTCAATCTGCCTGACCGACAGGTCGAGGAACGACATGCCGTCGCGGACCTCGATGACCGACTTGGGTCCGACGCAGCCCATCGAGGTACCGAGACCGCCGTTGAGCTTGAGGACGGCAAGCTTGTTCAGGAACTGGACAGACTCGGTGTTGGCGAGGTCCTCGTAGTCGACAACCTGGCCCTGGGCGGGGGGGGCGATGCGGTCCCAGTCACTATATCATTCCCCCGGTCCCGGTCAGCACACGTGCATCGCTCTCGTGCATCGGTCCGGTGGGCTCATCCACAGCATCCTCCCACACGACTTACACAACGTTGCCCTTGGCCTTGTCGTTGAGGTAGCGGCGGAAGAGGGCGAAGAAGTTGTCCATCTCGGTCTCGAAGAGCTATTCGAACAGCTGTCAGCACGGCACCTCTTGGCATACCCGGGGGCCGGGCGACGCCGTCCGTATCCTGATCCTCCCGACCGGGACTCACCTTCTTCTGGTCGGGGTCGGCGACCGACTCGGCCAGGCCGGTAAGGTGGTTACGCATCTGGGCGGCGGCGACGTTGGTCGACGTGTTCTCGAAGGCCTATCGTCCAGCAACAGGTCAGTAAAAATAAAAATAAAAATACGTCACCGGCAGTAGAGATGCTTGATGTCCGTCCCATGGCTACTGTGTCATCTCGGCTAGAGAAGGCATCCGCAGTCTCTACGACTTGCCGGCGAGGGAGGGGTGCTGTGCGGGAAGGGGGAGGAGGGTGAGGAGGGGGGAGGGGGGATGAGCGATGGCGGTCAGTGCCACCACGGGAGGTTGGAGGGGGGCCGCCAACCAAGGCTCCCCCCTTCCCCCCTTCCCCCTTCTTCGCAGCCCACAGCTCTCCCATCGACGAGGGGAGGAGCACTGAGCCGCTGGCGACGGGAAAGCGAAGTCTGCCTCTTGCCAGTACGTGATGGATTGGCACGGGAAGGTGACGGCTGAGGGGAGGAATTGGAAAGACCAGAGTTGACCTTACCATGTGGCTGCGAGACTTGCCGTGGTGGCGCTCAGCTATGTTCTGCTCGTCGCCGAGGCGCGAGAGCAGAGAGCTCTTGATGGAGGCCATGGCTGCTGCTGTGGTTGTCTAGTCGGAAGATGGGTGGAGTGGAAAGGGAGGAAGAGGCGATGATGCAGGAAAGAGAAGAGGAGGAGGGAGAAGACGGAGAAGAAGACGGAGAAGAAGAAGACGAAGAAGGGGAGAAGGCAGACCGAAAGCTTTCAGGAGGAGCTCAACAGGTCGGTAAGCAGTCGAGGATTGTCTAGGAGGGACAGGGAGGGAAGATGGCGGGGAATATGGGTTAAAAGGACAGGCCAGCAGGTAGGCGGCTGAGAGAGGGCGGGGCACCACGTCCAGTTTCGGTCTGTACATGTATTTCCCTGACGGCGCCGGTGGCTATGATGTTACATGTACCGTACTCTGTATATTACCGTAATTTTGTCGCAGCAATAGCAGTACGAGCACCCTACTAAGTAACACTGCCATAGGATAGGTGTATCGTATCACCGTCTTCGTAGTGGGAAGCGTGCCTGGTCAGTACCACCTGTCCGTAATGCTTGAGCCTCGTATGCTGCTCATACGTTCCTCATGGATATATTTCACCGTTGAAGGTGCCTCTCTCTCTCTCTCTCTCTCTCTCTGTCCATTGCAATCATTCGCCACCTCCCCAACCCTACTAAGGCATGTTTGTGTGTGTGTGTGTGTGTCGGTCAACAGGCAACGCAAGCTCCATTTGCCATTCTACACACAATTACGACTGTACACATGCATCCGAAAATTGCTCGTAGGAGTACTGCTACTACTACTACCATCTATTACCAGTCAACCTACCAGTCCACCTAGGTCTGCATCTTATTACGGGGCAGGTTGGCGGGAAAGTGGCACCGCCTCCCCCCTTTGGGCTCCCAAGGGCCCCTCCTCCATGCCACCCCACCAATACGAGTACTTGGCTTTGCTCGTACTATCACCGCTAGTAGCAGCATCACCAGCGGTCTCATCGGGGTCACTCTACATGTTAGCTAGTGGTATGAACATGTTGGCAATGGCTGCTGATCGAGATGGTCTCTCTCTCTCTCTCTCTGTGTGTGTGGGGGGGGGAGAGAGAGAGAGAGAGAGGGACGTCTGATGAGAGGTAGTGCAGAGATTCCAGTCGTCATTGAAGAAATGGAGTGTCAGCGGTTACTTGGTTAACGGTCGGCGGTATGTACACACACACACACACACACGGAACCCCCCTTCTACGTAATAATACGGAACTGAGTGGCAACATTATTGACCACAAACGAAGTACTCGTGTCCGTACCCTTGCGACACGAGTGTGACCTCGTCATAAGGATTAAGGAGTGAGGGTAAGAGAGAGAGAGAGAGAGAGAGAAAGAACTCATCGACGAAATCAACCCGAGTCGTGGCAAACAGAAAACAAAAACAAAAAGTCCTGAATGTTGACATCCCCCCCCCCTATAAGCTACGAACCGTCGCCCATTCATCTCATGATTAATTACTCGCTAGCTGGAAAGGGGGAGTGAAAACGATCAGATTCCCGGCCAGACAGGATAATAGCCAATTTGCGTGCTCGAACACTTCAAAAGAGGACCGGAACCGCGCAACGATCGCCGTCCCGCCCCCCTCGCTCAGTACCGTAATTTCATCGTATAATATATGTACGGGTACTCACTCTCTACAGGTCTTCTTCTCCTTTGTCTGCTCCCACCCCCATCCTGTTTAGCAAACCCCCACTCCCACAAAATTTTTTATCATTTTTTTCCCTATCCCAGCTTCCGACCTTTTCTCTCATAAGATCCAGGGAATAAGTAACATTACCCACTCAAGTCTCGACCTAGCAGCACGACGGCGCCGTACGACACGAGACGAGAGAGAGAAGATCGATGCTACTGCGCGCCAATAAAAAGATGATGGCTTTGTTTCTTTGTTTCTTTTTTTTTTTTAAAAAAAAAAATCTTCCTTTTTCTTTTTCTCTAGTTTCGATGAAACGGATCATAGATAAGAAGGTGTTTAAAACCAATGAGGGATGACGGGAAAGAAAAGACGGTAGAGACACGTTGTCGTAACACTCGTACTTGCTATACAAACTACGCCGATGATTCATGTAGCGGTGGAGGACGAAGGGGAGTCAATGTCTAAGACTTTTGTATGGAGTTGACATACCCAACATTTGGGGGGCCGCTCTTGGGGGACTACGGAGTACAATGGAGAGGGGCTCTCCCTGGAGGGGTTCCGTCTGGTGAGCGGGGCAACGAGAGAGAAGAGACAAGTATCATGGGTCTTACGTGAATGGGAGGCCTATATACACTGTTACATAGGCACTCTTTCAATGATTGGCGTGGTGGCAGAGTGGTCTAATGCGCAAGACTAGAAATCTTGTTCCTTCGGGAGCGTCTGTTCGAATCAGGCTCACGTCGTTTCTTTTTGTCACTTTTCCCTTTTTTTTTCTTCTTTTTTGTTTTTTCTGTTCGCATACTCGCATATCCACTTAGACGAACGGAAACAGACAGTTCGTCTCACTCTTCACCTCTACCACAATCGACCCTTGAAGCCAGGGTAACCCACGTGCGGACGTATGGTCCCTTGGCTGGGTGACACCCGCCTCCCCACCCCTTCATAGCATGGCAAACATCGGGGGAACGTAATAGAGCAGGGCATGATGGCCGGTATGCTACGTAAACGCAAGGAGGATTCTGCTATCTTGTAGACGGACTCATGCCCGTTCCAGTGGCCAATGTTCTCACCGGAGTCTCCGTTCCGATGGCTGCTGCAGGTATCGAAAATCATGTACGAGTTCTGTCCTTCAGCCGCCCGCTTGACTGCAGCCGACTGTCAGCTTCACGGCAGAGAGACGGCATCGCTAGGCTCCTCCGTCTACTATTCGCTAGCAGCAACTACATCGCAGGCAGCCACATGGCACTGAGGTGATCCTCATCACGATGCATAACAGTCAAACTCAGCCTCAGTCTACTACTAGCCGACGTCATCTAAGCAGGGCAAATGCAGCGTGCCTCATCGTGCAGGGTAGAGAGCAGGACACGGTAGGTTTTATCTGGCCAGAAATGAGGAGAGGAAGGGAAGAAGAGAAGGGAAGAAGAGAAGGGGAAAAAAAAAAAGGAACAGACACAGAAACAGATGGTAAGACGGAGTTGATAAGAAAGATAACCAGAAGGAACAAAAAGGAAAAAGCAACAAAAAGAAACGACGTGGGCCTGATTCGAACAGACGCTCCCGAAGGAACAAGATTTCTAGTCTTGCGCATTAGACCACTCTGCCACCACGCCTCAATGATCACGAGACTCTGTCAATCTCCTAATGAGGCTCCGTCGAGGCGGATGCGGAAAATGTGGGTGTCTCGAAATACGAGGAGATTCCAGTTGAGATGGGAGAAAAACGATCAGGTACACATGGGAAATGTTTGACATGTCGGGCTCTTGAATGTATCGTGTATGGTTAAGGTGGAGTGGAAGGGAAGGAACACACTTCGTCCCACCGGCCTTCGTCGAGAACGTGAAAGGGTGCCAGCGTACTCTCTCATACGCAACAACCATGCCATTTTTGCTTCCTTCTCCCACCAATCTCTCTGCAAGGAGATTCTTGACAAAAACATGTTAGATCCAACATGTCCCTATAGAGTCAACCAGTCGACCGTGGATGGTGGGGGGGGGGGAGGAGTATGGGAGCGGTTCCGAGGCTACCATACAATACAATAATAATACGGTGCGACCGTTAGTGGCCAGCCATCGTCCCCACCCACATGCGCTCTTAGATACGTCGCCAGAATCCGCAGTGTTTCCAGAACGTGTACATCTGCACCGCCTCCTAGAATGCCCCAAGCCATATATATTACTCTCATCTGGTGATTCCATTTCAAAGTGACTTGTCGAAAGCTGACCAGGGAAGAAAGGCCTCGAGTAGGGCCTACCCAGAGATTATCATTGTCATTTGTCGTTTGCTGTCGAGACTTCGTTCACTACCACCCCCCACCATCGTGGTGGTTCTTAAGAGGCGGTGGACGACTTCTTCCCAACCGGGTGGGGGGGGGGGGGACATCTACTCTGGGACTTTTTCACCAATAACGCCACCAAAGAAGAGAAAGATTGGGGGGGGGGGAAAGAGAAGAAAAGAAAAAGAAAGGAAAACCATCACGGAGCGAAATGGGGAGCCAAGATCTCGTCGCCTACTGGAATGTCAACATCCCAGAGGCGGAGCACACGGAAAAGTGCCCAGCCTTCCTCGACAACGTCTCGGTCAAGGACCAGCTCGTCCTGGCCATGCCAGACTCGACGTACACCCGCCAGACGTGGGACGAGGTGCGCCGGATCGTGCGGGAGAACCGGCTGGACGAATTCAAGCGTGTCCCGTCGCATCTGAGGCGCTACAGGGCCTTCACAAGCAACCTCGCGCGCGACCACGGCAGCGTTGCCAACTTCATCCTGCGTGAGCGCCTGGGCTGGGAGGCTCCCGTCCGTCCAGAGGGGGACAAGCCGTTCGCGTGCCCCACCGACATCAAGGTCCTCTACAACGACTGGCCTTACGGCATCGACGTCAAGATCGTCCACCTCGTCGTCTGGACCAAGTTCGTCCTCGAGGTCGACCCGGCCTCCGAGTCGGGCGATATGACGGACCAGGCGCGCGGCGAGATCCAGGACTACGTGGCCAAGACGTTCTACCCACGCGTCCCCGAGGATCAGGTACGTTTTCCGTGCTCTATCGTTCTCCTCATTCCTCTTCTTCAACTTGAGAGTCAGTGTAGAATTCTGATAGTAGGGTGTGTATAAAACAACCCGGAAAAAAAAGGTGATCTGGTTCAAGAACTGGGCTGCGCTCAAATCTGTCGGCGCCGTGGAACACTTTCACGTCATGATGTACGACCCGGACCCCGATTTTGTGAGGGAGATCACAAACGGCGATGTTCCCCTGATTGAGAAGTCGGGCAGCGTATAGCCAGCGGTGGCCTCATCGTGGCCGCCACGACGATGAGGAAGGTCATGTGCCTCTCCTCGGGCAAATAGTGTTGAAGCTTCATTATGTCTATATATATATATATATATATATTCGTTCCATCGTGTGATGTCGGCCCTTCTGTATCTTCATCGCGCTCTCTCTGCTCATTCAAATCTGCTGTGCTCTACTTGCTGCCGCCCAAATCACAGCTATCAACGCTCAGCTCGATTCGCGGAGCATCGGCCATGGGCACGGCGATGGGCTTCTCCAGGCTGATCTTCAGCCTCCACCCCTTCGTATCCGGGACAGCGTAGTACTCGTGTAGGTGCTGAGAGATGTCGGCGCATATCCTTTCAGCGAGGGCCTCGAGAGTCTCGTAGGACGAGTCTCGCATAGTCTATAAGAGGGTTAGTTTGGATATCAGAGCCATCCTTTTCTCTTTTTCTCCCTCCTTTGTTTTCTACTTGTCTGTTTCTTTTTTTTTTCTCTTCCCCTCTTATGTAATTCTGACACCGTAAAGAGAGAGAGAGAGAGAGAGAGAGAGAGAGAGAGAGAGAGCGGAGGGGGGAAAGAAAGAAGAAGAAGAGGAAGAAGAAGAAGGAGAAGAAGAGAGAGCTCACCTTTGACAGAATAGATTCCAACTCTGTGTAGGCATCAGGGACGCCGATCCACCTCCCGACCTCTAGGTTGGCAACAACCATCTGCTCAGCCTTCCTTTCATTGTCATTGACCCCTATGAGCGTAGGCACCCTGATATTGTGAATCTTGAGGGTCACAGCCCTGAGAGGCGGGCGACTCCCCTCCCCCCCCTCCAGCGACGCAGGTCCGAGGACGGCCGACCCGGTGACGCTCGCCCCGTCCCCCAGGAGAGACGCCTTGGGCAGATGGACGGTGACGTGGATGGAGCTGAGGTCGGGGGCGGTGATGAAGACGTTCTCATCTGTGGCGGCGGTCCGGACATCAACATCCCTGCCGAGGAGCAGGTCCACCCCGACGAGACGGTACACGAGTTGAGCGACGGTCTTCTTGAGGGTCCTGATGCCACCCGGGAGGGGGCCGCTGACACTGCCGCCGCCGCTGGAGGAGGAGGAGGAGGAGGAGGTAAAGGACCCGTCGCTTATGGCCGCCAGGACGCGCTGGACCTCCTTGGCCAGCAGGCCGTAGTGGACCGTGTCGGAGGCTACGGAGTCTCCCGAGGACGAGTCGCGAAAGGCCCGGGACATGTTGACCTCTACCGACGTCAGGCACGGCTGCGGGCGGGCCTGGCGACCCCACGCGTCTTGGGGGCCGGTTATGGTCGTCGACAGGTTCTGCAGGTGGATCGTTGCCGTAGGCTCGCCGGCAGCGGCGCGGACCTCCCATGTTGGACTGAGCTTCATCTTTGAAGATGAGGGGTCCGTCGTCTCTCGTGGTTTTTCTTCTTCTTCTTCTTCTTCTTTTCTTCGGGAAGACTTGATTACCGTGAGATCAGGTATGGTTTACGTATTCGATATCTTGATGACTATCGTCGGCGTGGGGAGTTTTTCGGAGAGAAAGTGAAGCGGGGGAGGGGTAAAGGAGAGAGAATCTCTAGAATGGAAACACCTTGATATCACAAGTTGGCTGTGTTTAGGTACTTCTTCCCTTCGCGGGGGGTCTTCTTCTTTTCGTGCCCTGGATGTGATTGTCATTCTACTGTTGTTGTATATATTAACATGATGAAAAACTGTGAGGTAATCGAAGGAGAGTAAGGAAAAAGAGGGAGAAATGGAAAAAATGAATCAATCATGACTTCATTTCAATCCGTCAAGTGTTGTTGAGAGCAACATACCCTGTACCTCCACCCCACACGAGATCTAGCCTACCTCGCTCGCAATGGATTCCCATTCAAGTCACGCGTCGTGTGGCTTTTTTTTTTTTATCCATCTGGTGATTCTTCATGGTGTGTCGCACACGTGTCGTGTGCTTTACATGCTTAAAAGATGTATAGATGTATAGTATATGATATACATGTATGTATATATATATATATATATAAACCCTCGTATACGGGGACGGACACTATGCACAGAAGAGGCAGGAGGATCATGTCGGGTGCGTATGATCAGAGCAGAGCAACCTTGTGATATGTCGATAGAAGTTCATGCTCGACATACGTATACTCGTTTCTCTGCGTCAAATTCCAGAAAAGTCCATGATCCAAGAGCGGGAATGAAGAACGTGAGGAGTTGATCAGGCACCGATCACGAGCTCTGATCGTGGGTCCCTTTTTGTTTCTTCTCCTTTTTTGTCTTTTCCCGACCAATATCTTCCTTTGTCCTGCCCGTTTCAACTTGGTGGCTCTAATCGTGAATCATACTTTTGTATCATGTCGATTCCCTCTAAAAATAGAGCCACCACCACCACCACCACCACCACCACCACCACTACTACTACTACTAGCACTAGCACTTTAGAACATATATTCATGTCTAGGACCGACCGACTGGGAAAAAAAATAGAAGAAAAAAAAAGTTGCGCACATCAAATTGGTCTTAGTGCTATGGAGACAATGGAGACAGATACCGTAATGAGGTACGTGCGCCGACTACTCTATTCCTCCCACCCTCCCCCTCTCACCTCTTCACTGCGCCAAGAGGGAGGGGGGGGAAGAGGGAGAGAGGATGGAACCCTCGAGATATCGGAGAGGGAAAAAGAAGAAGGAAAGAGTATCAATCATTAGCGTTGCATGCAGGGGGTTCGAAAGAGACGGGACGAGAAGTTGCAGAGGGCTATGTATGCGTATATCGCGCATGTTGGAACCAACCCCCCCCCCCCCCCCCCCCCAAAGAGACCGAGCTCTTCCCTCTCTATCCTATATGATTCCGTACAAGCAGTCTTGAGCGAGACCTCTCTGGTCAGGATTGCAGGAGACTCTTTAACGGATGCAGGCCAAGAATCTGCTCTCTTCCTTCTCCTTCTCCTCCACGTACATGTACGCAGTAATATCGGTTCCACCAGGGTTTCGCGTTGGCGGCCCGTCTGTTATGCATGTTCGAGAGTTCGGTAACCGGTCTATAGGGTGGTTTGCTGTGCGCAGAGTCGGATCTGGCGTGAGGGAGTGGCAGGCTTTGCCGGTTAGATGCCATCTCCTCTCTCTTCACACCCTGCGCTCGATCTTCGGTGCGGCATGATGCAATATCCTCGTGGCTGAAAAGTCAGTCTACGCCGTTGATGAAGGTGTGACGGGACGGCGCAAAAGAAATGCGGAGTGCTACTATCCATAACACGAGTATCGCTATTCGCGGGTGGAATGCCCATCCAACTGTTACTACTACCAGCTACCACTAACTACCACTAACTGCCCACTACCACTATTTAAAATACGCTACTGGTATCACCAAACTACTGCCAGCTACCATGTACCACCACTACTGAATACTACTCAGAGTGATAATGATAGGTGACAAATTACCAGTACAGATTATTTTCAGGGGCCCAGCCAGAGCTTAGATCGACGGATCGCCGAGGAGGGGCAGGGCAGGGTTTTGTGCCGGGCAATCATCAATATCTGATGCAATATTACTCGACTCGCCCGCTCACGTAATACTCTGCCTCTCGTACACGCACGACGAAATGACAATAACCTGTACCTCTGCTCGGTGCATCCCATGAACCCGTCTTGTAACCCTGCCCATCAAATAAGATAAAAAGTCGTGTGCGTGCGTGCGTGCGTGTGTGTGTGTGTTTAATATGTCGCAATACTGTCAACGTTACATATTACATCTTGGGACCTAGTGGGAAGGGGGGAGGAGGTAGGGTATTAACCCGGAGACAACAGGACTGCCCCCAAAGCACATGGGTCTTGTCCAGAAGGGAGGGGGCGGAGAAGGTGGTCCCCCTGATTGATGAATTTCCCACGACCGAAAAAAAAAAAAAAAAAAAAGTTGGGGCTTGTTTTCCTTCGGCTATCGTGTTCCGTGCTGAGATGCTAGTACGACTACGGATTGCTCTGTACGTCTGAGACCATGCATCATCATTACTCAAAAGCTCGTACGAGTATTACAATTGCAGGCAGAGTAGCATCGGATCATCCAAGGCATCCATCTCTCCTTCTCTCTGCTCGCTCTCCTCCGTCACCAAATGTCGTTCTCCGTCGGAAGTACCTGTCTCACCCACATCTTCATCGACGCACTTCTACAGATACACGATACGAGATACCTTGTATCATGCCTCCTACAATCTACAATACCTACTGTACCTACCATCACCATCACCTGATAACCTGTACATCAAAGGTACGAGATGATAATATTCGACAACCAACACACACACACACGCACCCTAGTCAATCCAATTCCCCCTTGTGGTATCACAAGTCCGGCCCGCGTCCTACCGAAACAGGATTAGTCGGTGGAGAGCAAGCAGGGGCCAGCACAACAAACGACTTTTCTTCTTCTTCTTCTATGCCCCCCCCCCCCGGGTCAATGCGTCGTCGTCTTTGGGTAGCCCTCGCAAGAACCCCGTCAAGAGCTGTTGTATCATCCGTAACCGTATGAGGAGGCTATCATGTCTGTCTGCGCCCATGAAAAAAAAAGACCATGAGGACCGCGAGTAATTTTTTGCCAAGCACTCTCGACTCTTGATGATGATGATGCTGGCAGTACTGATACGTCTACGGTACTGCGGTGATACTCTTCCCCCCTCCCCTCCCGTATACTCCGTAATATCACCCCGTATAATATCTAAAAGTGAGAATTTCATCGTCAGAGCTGTCTGGCTATAATTCTATCATACATAATAAGCAGTATTACCAAGGAACTATTGGTTTTTATTTTTATTTTTATTTTTTATCTTTCTTACTCGTAGGAATCATTAGCTGGAACCTCGATATGATAGTACGATATGGACTAATACAATACGGACTAATACGCTCCATTCTTCGCCAAGGCCCAAGACAGCTGAAACCGAGAGAAGACAGAAAAGAAGAAGATAGGGGGGGAAGAAAAGAAAAGAGAAGAAGAGATGCTGTCGAGAACAAGTCTTGTCAATGGTGTCCTTTGTGGATACACTCGCTATCATTACCTTGGTTAGTGATGATGGTAATGCTTGCCTTTTACCCGTACAGGCAGAAGCCTAGTCCTGCCTTTTATTTTATTTTATCGCGTCTGACGCCGTCCTCTTCTTCTTCTTCTTCTTCTTGCGAAACGGTCATCCTTGATTGACTACCGTGCACGCGTCCCAACGTCGGTGCAGTACCGGTCTGGTGGACCGCGACAATGTACGAGTCTTACTCGTGTGCTCACACGGACCATCCTGACCTCTTCTTCTTCTTCTTCCTCGACACTTGTTGATCGCTTGCGAGGAGGGGGTGACTGACACCGAGAGACACACGGGACACTCTCTTCATATCGCCGCCCCTCATCCCGCCCCCCCCTTTGCTATCCTCTCTCCGTCGGAAGTCAGCCGGGTAGGGAGGGTGCCCGTATATCTTGTAGGTATGATGATCATTATCATAGCGTCCTGTTAGCTATCGTGTATCCGTATAGCAGTAGGTAGTATTACCGAGAAATCAGAAGACTCGGATTCAGGCAGGCAGGAAGTAATAGCAGTCGATACCCCGTAGTTCTCTGAAGTCAGGGAGGTACCGGAATCAATTATTGTATGCTCCGGGGGACACCTGCTTGGCTGGCTTGCCAAGCCGTGCCGTGACCGCAAACCCCCCCGCCCAGGGAACGAGGTCCTCTTTTCTGCCCTTCTCCTTCTTCGCTTTACCCCGTCCAAGGGCTTCCCATCAGCAAGGGTGACCTTGCTGAGACGATGCTGTGCATGCGCTATATGCGCAGCCACCAAGGAGTGAAGGAAGAGTACATCATTTCGACTGGTGATGGATGGCTTGACAGGCCGTCACCAGTCAGCCATACGGAGTGGCACGAGTCTATCCTGTGTGTGTCGCTCCGTGCCACGCCGCCGTAGTCGTATTTTTGGTGCATCTTTACTGCTACGGCGTATACGACCACATGCAACCAGGACGCTGGTTCAGTGGGTTTGACCGAGGGGGTTAGAGTGCCGCCGTGTTTCATTTGTATCCTACCCCATGGTATATGGAGCATGGCCGTTTTGTCGGGCTCTCTCTCTCTTCTTCTTTCCTTCTTCCCTTCTTCTTCTTCTTCTTCTTCCTCTCCCTTCTCAGATATTTTCGGTCCGTTCATCTTCGTCGTCTAAGCTTGACCGGTCGCCCTGCGAAATCTGCAACAACCAGCCCTTCTCGGGTTTTCTGCGTCATCACAATCCTTCCCTCGTACAAGGCTTCTGTATACCGAAACATGGCATAGCATGACGGTCTAAATGACTTACATCTAGAGAGATTGCCTCATCTTGTGCGATTCCGTGTGGTTGCCTGCTGGAAACGGTGTCTTCGCACCACCCCCCCCCCCCCCCCCCCCCCCCCCCCCGCTGGTGATTTAACTGTGCAACGAGGCATACATAGTATATAGCACGTCAAGCCTTTCTTTACTTCGGCGTTGGCTGCTTGTGTTGTACTTACATACGTAAGCCCGCACGCACGCAAGACCCCCACCCCTAGGCCCGGGGTTCTCTCTGGGAGGGTGCTGGGCAGCCAGGGTGACCATTTCCCGACAGGGGGTGTGTAGACGGGACGCTCACCCGGTGGAGACCGTCTCTTGCCCTGGGCCCTTCTCGGTTCGGGGCCCGCCGCCGGATCAACCTGTGGGAATCGCCTCAGCCTGCGTCGCATGTTTCCTCTGTTCACGTCTGTGCGACAGCGACGCATCGGGGCTCCATTTAATCCTTCCTCACCCTGGAGTCGGGATCCATGGAGTCGGAGACATACAGGCCGTCGTCTCCTCGAGACGTGAAGCGTCATCCTGTTCTCGAGTACGAGCGGGGTAGCGGGACTGCCAATAGTACAGAGCATGAGAAGAAAAAAAAAAAAGAAAAAAAAACTCCCAGAGTGGCACATCGACGCTTCCTTACTTCCTTCGATAAGACTGCACAACGTAACGATGCTTCCTAGCGCGTCCGGGAAAAAAGGGGGTGGAGTTTAGCTTTGTTAGAGGCAGAAGAGGACATGTGTGTGTATTGGACTTGGCAGGGATCAATTCTGCCAGAACAGCTACTCGAGATACATGACGAACATGACGAATGCTTAGTAACCTCTATGGTCGAGAGTCGTGGTTTCCCATCCGTGCTCCCCTCCAATAAGATCGAGTTGAAGTTGAGTTGACGGCCAGCGGTAGGTAACACCTATCCGTTCGGCATGGCACGCCTGACTGAAGACGCAGGAGATGGGTGCCGAGCGGGATCACCGGATGAGGAACACGACATATTACTGTGAAGAATAACATGTGGGGGAAAAAAAAAGGAAAAAAAGAAAGAAAAGCGGAAAAGGAAGAATGAATATCAGGAAGGACAGGAAAGAAGCGCCTGCCACGTCCAATAAACGTGGCAGGTAACCATATAGCCAAAAGGCTGATATCGAATTGGTCTCGCTCAGTATTAATAGTGGCGAAGAGAGCAAGCCCCTGCATCCACTGAAGGTGAAGATTGTGGACAGCACGTCTGCCAGGGCCGTGGCTCATTGGCAAGCGGATGGCCGGGGGTTGGGTGGCCTGTAGATCCTCTCAAATTGAGCAGCTTCTTTGCTGTGCCGTGCCGGCAAAGTATGAAGTATGAACACTAGAGCCAAGGCACGACCCGCTGACAAAAATCTCGAGCGCTCATTCGGCATCTATTCCGCACCCTTGGAGCTCAGATTCATATCACCGAGGATTGAGACCAGAGGCAGAAGAAAAATGTACAAAAGGTTACTGGGAGCATGGTATGTTTTGGTGGCGATGGCGACGACGGCGCATGGCTCGCGTGAGTGTTAGTGGTCAGGAACAGGCATTCTCGGATCTGGGCGACGCTCAGAGACGGACCAACCAGAAGTCATGCTCACCTGCCCGTTTTTTTTGTTCCTTTTTGTTTCCTCCTCCTCCTCTACTCTTCATCATTTTGAGCCAATCTGGATCGAGACCGATAGCATCCATGCAGCGCATGACCCTCGTTCTCGGCTGAGTGGCGGCCGGTCTTGCACCAGTACCGTTCGGTTGGCCAATGTGCCTTGCGCGGCGAGGTGATGATGAGCGGACGATGAATTCTAGGTTGGATAGCCGCTATGTCGTCAACGGCTGGTGAGGTCCAAGGAGAGCCGACGTCGCCAGAGACGCGTTCTCGTACGTACTCGCTGCAGCAGCACTTTTCATGCAGACAAGAATGTGACCCTTCGCTTCTTCGCTTCCGCTGGCCGAGTGCAGTTGCCAATAGTACCACATGAAAGTTTATTCAGGACCGGCGGTTTATTTGAAACATGAGAGGGCCGCTCGTAATGCAAAGAGGCTTAGTTCAAAAGGTGGATGGAGAGGGAAAAAAAAAGAAGAAGCAGGACGGAGGTAAAAGAAACCCTTACCCAACTAATGCAGGCTTTTTTTCTTGGGTGCATTGCAATGCTGCAGGGAAGTGGGAGGTCCAACTCTGAGTACGGGAGGTAAGAGCGCGAGTGGACCGACAACCAACACCACGTAGGGAAGGAACCAGGCAGCAGTCGGCGTACCTTCCTTTTCTACTGGGAAGAAACCGCCGTCGACGTAATCGTGAATGCCCTGTCCTTTTTTTTTTTTCCATGATACCATCATCGCCATCGTAACAATTTCCTTCTACAGGTATGGCATCTTGCCATCACGACGTTGCCCTCTGGAATGCCTGCCGTCCTGTCCCGACAGCGCTGAGACACCTTCTGAGACACCCTCTGCGAAACCCTCTCAACGGCTTCACGAGAGCGCACAGCTGATGCTTTGTGGCTGGCCCCTACTTCTCGGTTCGGCCAGAGTCGAGCATGATAGAGTCGCAATGGCCGTCGTCGCCGCCAGCGGCGTCGGTCGCCGACGCTCCCCTACGAGCTATTATTATGGAGTACGAGTGCTCCGTACTGTTCCCTAGCCTTGATGGACCAAGGGCTAGACAGGGGGACGCGGAGGACGTTTACTCGTTCGGACCAACAACAGGGACGAGCATGCATCTACTCTACGAGTACCCATGAGACTCGTACAACGACCGCAGTACGCAGTACGGCAAAACACACTGTAATACGCTGGCCGAAGAGGAGAAAGAAAATTAAAAAAAACGACTGGCCCGAGTCTCACTCCACTGACTTTCCGCCACTCACTCACTTCACTACGACGTGATCAATACGAAGCAGAAGAGCACGAGCACTTCTACGTCGACGGTACAGATTACAGCATACTCGCACACCCAACAGATACCCCCCCCTGTCGACCGTCCCCCTCCCTCCTCCCTCAATGGTTGTCAGCACCGTCCGGACTTGGGCGCTACCGGCCCTGGAATAGTGGAGTCATCACTCGAAGTTCCGCCCGAGGTCCCATTGGCCCCGTACGAGTACATGTACGACGTAATAACTCACACACCCTCTCGACAATGCCCTTTGACGGCCGAGAAGACTAGTCGAATATGGACTCAGACCGTGTTGGCAAGGACCCGCTACTCCGGGAGCTCTCCACAGGGGTTGGCTTGCTGCAGTAGAAGGGTGGGAGGGGACAGAAGTAGGTACGAGTGCTCGTGGATGTATCAAGAGCTTGCCCGCCTTCGAAAGAGTACGAGTACTTTTTATCACCTTTGCCCTTCTCCCTCCTTCCCCATGACCTTGTTTCAATTCCCGTTCTTTTGATTTCTTTCCACTGTGCTCGCAGCTGTATTATTACCCGTCCTGTCCTTAACGCGAAAATCACTTATACACACGGCATCTGCCCGTCCCGTGGCTCTGGTCCCGTCGATCCCAGCTTAGACAACCCCCTTCTCCTACATATTGGGAGGCGACGCCTACACTCACTCACTATACGATCGATTCGATACATTGCGTCTCAAAATCTCCTCTCGCCACTGCTCAACTCTATATACGGAAGTATACGTACTCACAGAACCTGCCCCGTCGCCGAACGCACTTACAGGCCAGTTCATCATACCGACACTATTCTCGGTGGTGGGACGCAACTCGCCACGCCACGAGAGAATCGGTGACCGACGACTCATGAGGAGGCTCGAGGTATCATAGAGATACTGAACCTGGGACTCGACAACCGATCTCTCTTCCAAAAGCATCTTGATCTGTCGCGTGCACGACCGATACAATTTCCATCATGTCTTCCTTGGACGGGGTCAACCTCTGTCCGGAGCCGTTCTTCGACGCCAAGTTGTTCGACGATGGAGGGTGTAAGCTGTTCTTCTTTCCCTCTTCCCCGTGACGACTCCGGCCCGCCTTCTTCTCATTCGACGTCTTCTTGTTGGTATGAGTATGAGCTGACAGATCTTTGAAGTCGTCGAAGGGCGTCTCTGCCAGCAGACTGGGGAGCTATCCTGCTGTCTCCCTTGCCCCTTGACACACTGGGTATACCCCGACTACTTCGAGACGGTGACGGATGTGGCCAATTGGGTTGCTACAGTCAGCGCCATCTGCTGTGTCTTCCTGATCCTGTCATGGACCGTGTTACCGGTCAACAAGACAAACCGCCATTACCTGAGTATCTGCCTGACCATTGGTATATTCATCATGAGCGTGAGTACACAGGCCGAGGGGATCAGCATATGCCTGACTCTCCCCCCCCCCCCACCTCATCTCTGGAGCTTGTTAGGCTGACCGTGCCATGCCGATGTAGCTCGGTTTTGTCATCCCCCTTGCCGCCCAGCCGGACCAGTGCTTCAACAGGATTACGCCCAACAGCATGCACACCAGCAGCGTGTGCGGCGCGTCTGGATCGATGCTGATGCTGGGAGGATGGTCCGCTGTCATGTGGGCGTTCCTGCGCTCTCTCCACCTCCACCTCCAGATCTGCTGGCAGATGCTCGTGGGCCGGCCGTTCATGATCTTTGCGCAGGTTGCCGGGTGGGGAGTGCCCCTGCTCGCCCTGGCCCTGGGCCTCATCTTCAGCGGCGTGTCATTCCGATTTGGACAGACGTGCCACATCGTGCACAAGAACAGCCTGGCAGACTTCTGGGTCCCGCTGCTCGTCTTTGCCGGCGCCACCGTCGTCATCACGTTTGCGACCTTCGGGTACTGCATCAAGGTGTACCTGGCCTCCCTGTCGGACACCAGCGGGTCTTCCGAGGGATCCAGCCTGCCGGCGTACTCGACGACGGCGTCGCACCAGAACATCTCGCCGCGCCAAGCCTACCGCCGCATCCGCCGAGTCATCAGCCTACAGTGGCGAGGCATCGCCATCGTCCTCATCATCATCACCGACGTCATCTTCTTCTCCGTCGTCTTTGTCTTCCAGGACAACGTGATGCAGTCGGTGACCAACGACCCGACCAAGGCGGCCGAGTGGAGCAAGTGTCTCATCCAGTACTCGGGAAACAAGGAGAAGTGCCTGGGCGAGGCGAGCAGTCTGGTCGTGAACGATGCGACTGTCACGGCAGTCCTCTTCCTTCTCGCGGTAAGCCAGATCAAGCAATGACAAGGGGGGGGGGGGGAGCGAGGGTTTCGGTTGCGAGGGGCTAATCGATCTACTGAACCACAGCTGAACGGAATATGGATCCTGTTCCTGATGGGACGCTGGACCATGGTGACGGGATGGCTTGACATGCTCCACTGCACGGGCCGGCGCAGGAACCCAGAGTTCATCTCGGCCGACGCACGAGCCGAGCCGGCCGCCAAAGACACACGTTCGTATGAGATGCTCTCGAAAGATACGAGCGTTGAGGTAACACCGTTGGATCCAGTCATGAGATCTCCCTCGCCGGTATGGAGAGACTACAGCGCCAACGCATACAATACCACGGCACCGGTGCCAACAGCAACAGCAGCAACGTCAGAGTCGGCGGACGGCAGGCACACGCCCGACTACTTTGGGCACTCTGCTCGCTACCACGCCCCGACACAATCCTTCTCGACCCCCCGGCAGCCGAGCAGTCCGCCGCGCCGCGAGTCGTGGGACCCGCAACGGACGTACGCCCAGCCGCAGAAGGCGTACCACGGCCGACAGCAGTCCCAGGCATCCAACTACGAGGACATGACGATGAATCCTCTAGGGATGAACCGGATATGATCTTCCCCTGCCCTTCTCCTGATGGCGGGGCTGCGAGCGAATACGAGAGAGAAGGGGGAGAGGGGATCTAGCTCTAGATCATAATGGTGTACTCGAGTTCCTGCCACTCCAAAACATATGGCCCAGATAGAGAGAGAGCTAGGGTGATGTGACATGGAAAGGTGCATATGAAGGTGGATTCGGCTCTGGATGGTGGTAAAGTGGACACTGCAACATGCAGGATATAGGAGCGACGGCGTCATCGGGGTGCTTTCTTTTTTTTTTTTAACTACTTTCCTTACTTTTTTTCATTCTCTTTATTTTTGTCTTGTCTGATACCACAATTTTTTTTTTTTTTTTTTTGTTTGCCGACAAGAAGCTATTGAAGTAAGGGAGGAGGAGTAGTGAGGGGGACGACTAGGTGGAAAAAAA